CCTTTTTCTTTTTAATCTGTGTGTTTGTTTTGCTCTGTTAGAATTGTGATACAATGGTTGCTGATGGCACGATAGATAAATAAATAATATATATATTACAATACTATAACTAATATAACATTTATATATAATATATAAAGACATGTAAGAAAGCTATATCAAAACAATTATATATATTATAATACTGCTATGATTAATTATGCTTGATTACAATTATTGCAATGCTATAACTAATATATTAAGATATGTAAGTATACTATATCATAATTATTCTATATATTTTAGTTATAACAACAGTACAATTAAGGTATTATTTTACATACACAAATATATATATATTAAGGAAGAGATCTCCATCCCACACCACTACTCCCTCCCTGGCCCACAGCGGAAGTAGGCCCAAACCTTTCCCAACGCTGGAACTCCATTTCCCAGCTGCCCCGGCGGCACTTCCGGTGAGAGGGTGGGCGTGGCGGATCCGGCTGGACTCGGCTATTTCCGGAAGCGGGTCCGGCGCTGAGCTCACTTCGGTGTATCCCTCCGCCGCCTCGGCCTCAGCTTCGGGTGGTCCCGCCCGGCCTCTCATTGCTCTCCCTGGCCGGTGGAGAAGGCCTGAGGAGGGCGGGATGGAGGCCGTGCCGCGGATGCCGATGATCTGGCTGGACCTCAAGGAGGCCGGGGAGTTCGCCTTTCAGCCCGCCGTCAAGAAGGTCAGGCCTGGGAAGGCTCTCGCTGAGGGAAAGGCCCGGCGCGGAGGGAAAAGTAGTCCCTGGAAGGAGGGGGCGGGGAGGCAGGCCTCCTTGAGGGCCTCATTGCGGGCAACAGGGCTGGGAGGCACCCCCAGAGGGCATCCAGACTGACCCTCTCCCACCACAATAATAATGTTGGAAATAGCAACCTTCTTCCAGCCTCCACGAGTAATTAGTTTTGGATATGATCCTGTTTGCTTACTGTATGGTCTCTGTATGGTCTCTGTATGTTTTGGTATGCAGCTTTCCCTTGAGTCTATGTTTTTGGAGGTTGTGGGAGGGGCTGCAGACCAGATTGTGGCACTCCAGGCCAGGGAATCATAGAATCCTAGAATCAAAGAGTTGGAAGAGACCTCCTGGGCCATCATCCAGTCCAACCCCATTCTGCCAAGAAGCAGGAATATTGCATTCAAAGCACCCCTGACAGATGGCCATCCAGCCTCTGTTTCAAAGCTTCCAAAGAAGGAGCCTCTAAAGCCCTCTGACTTTATAACAAGTATATATATTATAATGCTATAATTAAGGTGACATTAATATATATATAAAGATATGTTAGTAAAGTATATTATAACAATGATATATATTATAATGCTATAATTAATGTGATATAGATAGATAGATATGTAAGGAAAGTATAAATTAATGTGACATGAATATATATATATATATATATATAAAGATATGTAAGGAAAGTAGATTATAAACATATATTATAATGCTATAATTAATGTGACATTAATATATCTATAAAGATATGTAAGTAAAGTATATTATAACAATTATATATATTATAATGCTATAATTAATGTGATATTAATATATTAATATATATAGATAGATATGTAAGGAAAGTATAAATTAATGTGACATGAATATATATATATATATATATATATATAAAGATATGTAAGGAAAGTATATTATAAACATATATATTATAATGCTATAATTAATACGACATTAATATTTATATGTAGATAGATATGTAAGGAAAGTATAAATTAATGTGATATGAATATATATATATAAAGATATGTAAGGAAAGTATGTTATAACCAATATATATATATATATATATATATATATATTGCTATAATTAATGTGTGACATTTATATATATATATATATATATATATATATATATATATAAATTATAATGCTATAATTAATGTGATATATGAAGGTATATAAGGTAAGTATATTATAATAATTATATATATTATAATGCTATAATTAATGTGACATTCATATATATATATATAAAGATATGTAAGTAAAGTATATTATAACAATTATATATATAATGCTATAATTAATGTGACATTCATATATATATATAATGCTTCTAGAACATGGCCATATAGCCTGAAAAACCTACAACAGCCCATTGATTCCAGCCATGAAAGCCTATGACAACACCCTTCAGAACAGGCACAATATCCTTCAGGAACAGGAATCCCATTGTCTTTCTCTGCATCAATAGCAACCTCATCATTAGAAACATTATTAGATACATGAACCTCATTGCCAGTCCCAACATCCAGAGTACCTTGATCATTAGACACACTCACAGGCTGAACTCCAACACACATGATCAGATCTGGGACTGCTCACTGCTCAGACTCCATTAGACTATCAGGCTGTGTTATTGTGCACAGAGAAACTCCTTCAAACCTATCTGTAACAGGACTGATAGGCAAAGTACCTGTATGATGAATACATGAAGGTTGTGAGTAAACTAAATATGTTTCTTTTAACGAAGACTCCTTTATTTTTGTCTCTTGAGAGCATGATATAGAAACAAGATGTTTTATGGGAGAGGAGATATTTTTGGGCACTGAAGAAAAAAGCACATCTGAAGAACTGCTGTATTTTGTGCATTGGCGTAATCTAACAGATCAGAGACAACCAGGTTATCAGTCTAACAACTGAAAACCAAATTGCCTCGCATAAGTACATGTGGATATGTGCTACTAAAGCAGTGCTTCCCAACCTGTGGTCTGTGGCGCACCAGTGGTCCACAAGAACTAAAATATGGTCGAGGGCCTCACCGTTACTGCACCGTTGCAACGAGAGTGACTGGGTGGGACAAAGGACTCCTGTCTGCTGGAGCTAGGTGTGAATGTTTCAACTGACCATCTTGATTAGCATAT